TTTTTTTTCTTTTTTTTTTTTTTTTTTTTTTTTTTTTTTTTTTTTGGCATTTTTTCTTTTACCCTCTGGGCCTGGGCCTTGACTTCATTCCTGGATTATTGCAGTGGCCACTGCTTGCTCTTTCCCCACCCAGTCTGTCTTCACCACCAACTGGTCTTCTGTAAGCACTGCTTATTGCCTCCTTCTTGGCGATATAAGTAGTGGTCTCCAATGTGGGGGTGCCCTTGGGTACATAGGACAACTTATTGGGGTATGGGAAGAAAATATTACAGCCTCTTTATATCATTTTAAAATGGTTTCATGTATGTTTTATTATGTATATAATAAAACTAGCATAGATGTAGAATTTATAAATAAGTTACATGCTTTGGGGTACATGAACAAAGTTATGTTCAATGACAGGGATATATAATCAAAGTTTGAGAATCACTGGCCTATACATAAAGTCCACACTTACCTAATATTCTGATATTTTTGTAGCCTGTTCTCCAGCCTACCTTTCCAGCATCTAGTTCTTTATCTGGTTGGTGAACTCTGCTCCAAACAAATTGTTTTCTTTGCTATCCCCAAACTCACACATGGCTTTCTTCCTTCCAAGTTTTTGTTCATATGGCCCCACTTCTCTGGAATGTTTTTCCTCTTATGTTAGCTTACCTAGAATATAATGATCATTCAGGGTCCTACTCAGATCTCTTCTCTACAAGGTCTTCTCTGACCAGACTAGCCCAAATTTCCATTGTAATCCCATGGTAATTAATAAAGCCACATACTACCTGGGACAGCTTTTAAGTAGCCCTGTGGCATAATTTGTTAAAATATCTTAATGTTGCCGGGCGCGGTGGCTCAAGCCTGTAATCCCAGCACTTTGGGAGGCCGAGGCGGGTGGATCATGAGGTCAAGAGATCGAGACCATCCTGGTCAACATGGTGAAACCCCGTCTCTACTAAAAATACAAAAAATCAGCTGGGCATGGTGGCGCATGCCTGTAATCCCAGCTACTCAGGAAGCTGAGGCAGGAGAATTGCCTGAACCCAGGAGGCGGAGGTTGCGGTGAGCCGAGATCGCGCCATTGCACTCCAGCCTGGGCAACAAGAACGAAACTCCGTCTCAAAAAAACAAAAAAAAATCTTAATGTTTTCATTTGCATTTTACGTCCCTAGCTAGATGGTAAGTCATTTAGGATATTATTATTTTTTGCTCTATTAGTTTAAAAAAGTCTTTTACACTTAGTGGATTTTTCATGAATACTTGTTTCCAAAGTCTATTTTTATATTATGGATTACCTTTTGCATACTACTACTGCTAACCTTTGCACTGCTGACAGTCTCTGGGCCTCTAAGTTGTGTTATCAATGGTATTAAACATGATTAGGTATTAAACATGTAAATACATTAAGCAAAGACATAGAGAAGTCCCATCAAAGCAAATTTTCTAGAGAAGAAGGGATGAGGGATGGCATTGGTGTTGATTGGCTTTATTACAGTCTCTCAATAAATGTCTGTTGAATGAATGTCCTTTCTGTGGTGAGTGTGCCATAATGAAGGATTTAACTTCTTCCAGCAATAACTACTCTTGAGGACTTACAGTAAGCCCAGAATTAGAGATATCTTTGGCTTAACATGTAAAACCAAGCTCACGTCACAGAAAGGAAAAAGGGAGCAGTGGTTTGGTTTCTTAGAATCTTCCTACCAAAATTTGATTCTTGTTTCTTTTTACCACTTTCTTCCCTTCCAACATGGGACAGCAATGTAACAGGTTGAGAATATCTTAGCCATGCTCAGGAGCACTAAGTTGCATTTTCACCTTCAAGACTCTTAGTCCTATTCCTTATCAGTTCTTCAGTTTAGAAGAAAAGATCCATAGCCCATAAAAGCTCTTGAGTATTTATCTGACTAAGTACAACTTCCTGATAGCTGCTAAGATAGCTAGTTTTATCACAGGCTTGGTTAATGAAAGTACAATGTGCAGATGAAGAAAAGCAATAGTGTTCAAAGGTATTCAGACCACACACGTCGTGAGCTGTGTGTGAATAATGTATTCTATTCTTTTTTTTTTTTAGACAGAGTCTTACACTGTCATCGAGGCTTGGGTGCAGTGGCATGATCTTGGTTCTCTGCAACCTCTGCCTCCCAGGTTCAAATGATTCTCGTGCCTCAGCCTCCTGGGTAGCTGGGATTACAGGCGCACACCACCACACCTGGCTAAATTTTGTATTTTTAGTAGACACGAGGTTTCACCATGTTGGCCAGGTTTGTCTCAAACTCCTGACTTCGGTGATCTGCTGGCCTAGCCCTCCCAAAAAGTGCTAGGATTACAGGAGTGAGCCACCATGCCTGGCTAATGTAGTCTATTCTAAATTCAACCTTTTACAGTGTTCTTGAACAAACTTGAGGGGCCCAGAAGAGGTAACCGGACCATGTGGTCCATGTAGTGTGAAGGAAACTTGAGGAAACCAAGGTGAAGTATGGGAAGAAGTTAGAAGAAGACACATGAGAGCTGTCTTCTAGTAATTGAAGCACTGCCATGGGAATGAGGTTGCAAAGAGCAGACTCCCTGTAACTCCAGAGGGCAGAACCTAGACCTGTGGGTGGGAGTTTTTTTCATTCCACAAGAGGAAGAACTTATAAAGTCCTTTCCACTTTACAGAGTTAAATTCCATCTTATAGGAGCATCTGGTATTCTTACACTTTATTGAGTCTTTAAAGTCTTTCTGCCTCATTGGTTGCTCAAGCCATGGCAACAAATTCTGCATTAGAATTCACTTGCCCCCTCCTGGCTCCACCCAAAGGCCATGAGATCCCTCATGTTCTTATCTCCCAGAGCTGTCCCTGTTGCTTTTCGGTCACTTGGTCATTGTTATACCAAAGCTTCTGCATGTTATACCACAGTTATGATCTCCACTGCACAAGACCTACTGATAAGGAACAAAAACAGGGTTTGTCCACAGTGCAGATAAAACTCTTAAAGACTCACCACCCACCCATAAGTCCTTCTGGACATTAATGGGCCCCTTCTGTGGTCTTGCTACCAGCCTCGGTCTTTAATCAGTGCTTCTGTTTATCAAGAAAGGATGCACCCCTCACCTCCCCAGATAGAACTAACATACTTTTCTGGGTTTTGCATTAAGGTATTTTCTTTAAGCCCAGAACAGGGCTCCCCTGCTTTCTCTGTGTGATTTTTAATAGCCTTTTCTAGACCTGTGGACTGTTGCTGCTGGCAGTGAGTGTGTAAGAAATCGGAAGACCTAGGATTTAGTCCTGCCTCTGCTACTTACTGTATAGTCCTGAGAAAATTATTTAGTCTACTTGGTGTTCTCTTTTACCTCACTTATTGTTGATGATGATT